TCTAAAGTCATCAAACGTTTGTATTTTATAAAATGTATAAACTTCTTTACTAAAAAGTAAATACAAAATTTAATCCGTGAATATAATAGAATAGGCTTTTTCTGAGCGTATTCACGGATTAAATTTTGTATTTACCTCTTAGTAAAGAAGTTTATACATTTTATAAAACACAAATGTTTGATGACTTTAGATTTTATGCACCATATAAGTATATTCATGAAAAAAATAATTATTAAACTTGATAGTGTGATTATAGAGAAAGTTGGCTGTATATTATTAAATAAACCAGTCTAAAAATCTGGGTTTGATCTAAAATAAAGGTAATACCAAATTTTTTGGACTAATTCATATTTATAAAGAATTTCAGCCTGAGAATATCTTGCTGATAAGTTTTCTGGCTCAAATGTAGTGCGTGATTTACATCTACAAGTGCTTCATCATACATGAATTGTTTGATATAAATTTGTCCTCTTAGGATAAAGCTAATACTTTATTAGAATCATCTTTATTGAATATAAAATTTAAATCTTCCAGAACTGAATCTATTTCATTGAGACGTATTAGAGCATTAGCTCTAGAATACCGAGTTGTTATACTATCTGAATAAACTTCTAACACGCGTAATAGCCAAAAAACAGCGTCAAATCATTTCTCTTCTTAATCATCTTATTTGCTTTGCGTTGAGTTATTAATAGATTCACCCCCTATTTTGGAGTCCAAAAAAATCAAGTGGTGCTTATTTCCGGGAGAGTACGATATATAAATTTTGTTTTCTATAATACGATAAAACACTGACTCCCTTGTAAAAATTTCAACCTTAATATAACCTCAAAGCTATTTATTTATTTTGCAGAAAAATAAACGGGTTTACTAAAAAAATATTGACTAAAGTTTTCTACAAGAGAGGATACTATAGTTAGCGCTTTACGGTAAATACGAACTTTATTTAGACTAAAATAGTTCATCTATGGTTTTGTGATTAGCTGCATTTTCATAGATATAATGAAATTAAAAAATTTAATAGCATATTGTATTAAGAATGGTTCAATAATTATTTAATGAAAAGTAATAACTTTCCTATCATCCTAATGATTACGCTTTATTGTGGTGCATAATGTATTTTATAAAATGTATAAACATCCTTACTAAGAAGTAAATACAAAATTTAATCCGTGACTATGATGGAATAAGCCTTTCCTGAGCATATTCACGGATTAATTTTGTATTTACTTTTTAGTTTATACAATACAAACATTTGATGACATTAGATGTTATACACCATAGTCCTGGATCAGATATTCTAAAATTCTAAGCTTTAGAAACAATTTATTGATTATGTCTTATAAGTAACTTTAATTAACAAACTATTATAAACAAGTTTGATTAATAACTTACAAAGAAAAAATTATCTTTTATATTAGTAATTTTCTTGGGCTTACTAGAACTTTACAACCCTATAATCAATTGTTTATCGTTTGCGAAAGAAAGTTCGGAAAAGGAAAAAGCATAGAACTTTTCCAAATGTTCGATAGTTCAAGCGAACGTCTGATATGATGTCATTTCAGAGAAATTGCCGAAAATATACACGCATCAAAAAGATATATAATAGCGTAAAATAGCTAAAACTAAAGAATTATATATCACCTTATGGAAGAAAATTTTAAAAATACAGAAATTGGAAGACGGGTGAAACTACCTGACCTGATAATACTGTTCGTTGATTTATTAAAGGATATAAAAACAGGAACTTTGGCAAAAACAGTCAAGTAATGAAGAATAGACATGCTTCTTTGCATGAACTAGCAACCAATGTTTGTCTCAAAGTTTTAAAAACAACCATTAGCAGTTACCTTCCTAAAAACCGATAAATTGATAAATCTATTGTTTTGATGGTTTAGTTTGCCAAAATTGTCATTCGTCAGACGATTCGTCATTCGCCACTTACATTTCCAAAGTGGCCACGGCGAAAGTTTCGTGAAAATCAATACATGTACATGTTCCAAAAATGGTCATCATCGTCAGGCATTATGAGTTACGAGCTGGTATTTTATTAATCAGAAGGTTTCGTCATTCGTCAGACATTTTCAAAATGTTCGTGACGAAAGGTTTCGTCATCATCAAGGATCATTAGTCGCAGCCGACGAGTTGATTCTTGAGGATCTGATTGAATACATCCAAATCTATCTTCTCGAATACCACTCTGAATCTTTAACAGAGTTTTACCTTAATTAATCAATCATATTGCGTTCGAGCATAACTCTTTTACCAAGTCACATGAATCAGCGCTAGTTTGTCTACTCAAACGTGACGATCTAAATCTGAATGAAATCGACCTTTGGGAAAAGTTGCTCGAATGGGGAATCTCTCAAACTGCAGATGTCGATTCCAGCGGAAAAATGGACACATAACGAATTTAAACAACTCAAGTGCACGCTCGAAAATTGTTTACCATTAATTCGTTTCTTCCACATCAATTCGGTTGATTTTTATAACAAAGTAATGCCGTATGCTGAAATTTTTCCAGGAACACTTTATAAAGATTTATTGCATCATTATTTGGTGCCAGGAAGTGAAGAACAAAGGTCACCTTATATACAGTTCGCGGAATCAAACCAATCAACTATTCAATTCTTTCGCATAATCAGGCCCTAAATAATTGATTGGATTAAAGAACAAGCTAATAACGATAATCAAAAAAGCAAATCAATTGAAGCTATTACTGCGGGGGGTAGTCGTGATGGACATAGGAATACCGACTTTCATCGTTTGTGTGATAATAAAGGTCCAACCGTGGTTGCCATTCGTGTAAAAGATCATTGGTGGTTATAATCCATTTGAATGAAATTCTCTTACAAAGAATGCTTTTCTTTAAATAGTTTTTTATTTAAATTTAATTCTGATGGCATTCAAGCTACCAATGGAGTTTTAAGCAAATGTAAACAAGGACGGAGTGTGGTATGCTATGCAAATCATGGACCAACTTTTGGAGGTAGTCATGATCTAGTTCTGCATGATAACAACTCTGCAAATTATTGTATGAAAGACTCTATGACCACGTCCACATTATATAGGTTGGACATTGTTCCATGTACATTACTGTGATCTGGACATATTGAACATGGACAGTTGGACAATGTCCCAAATGTCTATGTTCACATTATATAGGTTGGACATGTCCCAGTATAGGGTATTATACTCGGGTAATATTTTGATTGGAGAAGAATATCATACAGGAGAATATCAAGAATATTATAAGATGAGTGACAAATATTAGCTAGTATCCATTTTATTATGGTGAACCCCCACCTGAGATTTCACTGTGAGATTATATTAACATCTGAGATTTGGCCATCACCCTCCCCACTAGAATATCAGCTAATATTTGTCTCTTAATGATGAATAATAGCTTTATTTTTACTAAATACGTATTATATTGAACGTAACCAATTGTTCAGTTCACGTGATATTTGTGTATGTCCAGAAAAATTATACGATAATAAAGGTTACTGTTAAGATTACTTTAAAGGTTAGGGTTAGGGTGAGATACAAGCCATACATAAATTGTCTCCCCGACGCTTTTAATTAGTACTTCAAGCTAGATTTAGGCACCTGTTTCTCGTATTTTTCGCATTTCTTGTATTTTTCCTTTTCTTGTGCTTTGTCAGGCTGATCAAAAATTCACGTATTTTCATTGGTTTGTATCACCAGCAGATCAAAAATTTACGCATTATTATTGGTTGCCACGTGAACCAAACATTTTTTTCCCCAACGAATCAGTAATTCATAATCAAATAAAATCGATTAGATCTGGTTATGTAAGGATGATCCGTTAATTACGTACACAGTAAATCTACTATATCAAGTAGATTTTATTTGAGGCAGCGTAGTCTCCACTATAACCCCCGGGGGGGGGGTCCTATGTCATAGTTTATAGAGACCCGCATCACTTGATTTGTGATCACATGCGAGCTGAAGAACACACAAATAACAAACATTTACATGCTACATTGGGGTTTTCGATAAACTATGTAGATCAAATTTATGTATAGTTTCCTCTTGCAAAACATTCTGTTGTTGTTTCCGACGTTTATTTCGAATCTCCGTTAAACCAGAGGAAATATTTTCCTTATCAATATCTTCCGATGAAAGTCGTAGTTTCGATTGTTTCATATTCAGTAACGTAAGGTTAAATGTTATCTAGTTGATCAATTTTTTGTTTCAGAGTGTTATACTCTCTTCATATTTACTTACTCTTTGTAGCTATGTTTTGAAAATCTGTCCTACAAACATACTTTTGGGTAATATTTGATTTATAATCATAAAAAACCAATTTTTTCATACAAATTTCAAAAATACTATGATTAAATAAATTATAATACTTAAAACTAAAAAATCAAAACATAGATTTATTTTATAGGTTTTTCGAATTTTATTTTCAAAATTTTAGGGATTATTATTATAGAAGCTGTAAAGAAGTTACCATTTGAATTCTTTGAGAATAACATATAAAAATACTAATAAAATGAACGATCATATTTGTACCACAAATCATAACTAATCTTGATTGTTTTTATATACCATTTGAAATAAAGCAAACGAAAATGATTAATATCGATGTATACGTATTAAATTACGATAGACAATACCAGGCTTTTTCGTGGCGTGGTTATCTTTTTTGTTAAAATATGGGGTTACTATTTACCGAAATGATTTTTAGCCGAACATTACCAAATTTGTGTCACTATGGAGTTATTAGCCCGAATGTACATAGTCGATCTCGATCTCTATTACCGTTACTGATTTGCATATAACGATAACGACAATGATTATTGCTTTTAGTGGTGGGAAAATTTCATTATGTACGTATCACGATTTCAGCTGAACAGGACGGAGTTTGATCTAAGCTGAATGGAACTTATATATGTCCGTATTCCATTTATATAAAACTGGCGGAAAAGAATCAAATTCTGCTTCCATTAAAAAAACGAGTATACATTGATATGATAAATTTGCAAGTTGACGAAGCAACTAGCTCATTATTAGGCAATGGCAAGAAAACCACACAAACTAGTCACTTTCTGTGTTGTTTGCGACGTTCATGTATTGGCAAAGCAGGTCGGGCTCGTTTGGCTGTTAGATTTTTTATTGGAGTTTTAGTCACGGTTGTTTATACAGTGTTGGTGATTTTTGTGGTTGACTATGTGAAGACACCGTGGTTCGGTTCGAATCTGTTGAATAACACGTATGCATGTCATGATACTATTAGTTGTGGTAAGTTAATGAGAGCTCTTTTGCGTGTCATGATACCGCTGCTAGTCATGTAATAATAATAACAATTATTATTATTATTCTAACGATGAAAATGCATTGATGATAGAACAGCGCCTACAACACAAAGAAGACAAACTAGAATCAAATAATTCATCAACGACATCACCAAATTATGTATTCTTTAGTTCATTATACAACGAGAATTATCTGGAAGGCGCACTGACATTAGGATACACAATAAGGAAACACCATCCAAATCATCAGATGCATGTGATCTATTTCCCCGAAAATTTATCCAAAGCATCACTCTGTAAACTTCGTGCTGTTGATTGGATACCACGTGCTGTTGAACGGCTCCCACCTCCGTGGGAGGGAGGTTCGGCGCACTTCGCAGATCAATTCACAAAATTAAAATTGTGGTCGTATGCAGAGTTTGACGGGATCGCGTATATCGATTCGGATGCGTTGGTGGTACATCCATTGGATAAAGCATTCGAGTTGATTAAGGATGGTGCAACAGGATTTGAGTTCGCTGCCGCGCCCGATGTTTTTGAAGGGACGATTGATGTTGGGTTTAATGCTGGTAAGTCTTTTTTCGTTGATAATAATGAAGATTCTTATTTATTCTTAGTGAATTCATTCATTCTTAATGCTTTATAGGATTTATGGCGTTCAAACCTAGTAAGATTGTGTATGATGAGATAATGCGTACTCATACAATACGTGGCAACTATGACATTAGATTTGCCGAGCAAGGTTTTCTCAATGAATTCTATCGATTCAGGTGCGTACGATCGAAATACCCATCTATATTAAAAAATTATTATTTATTCAATTTTTATAATGTTTCCAACATCGTGTAGAATGATCACACTACCCATCACCTACAATTTCAACCTATCAATACTCAAGAGGCATCGACATCTCTGGAAGCTACTATTTGACGAGATAAAAGTGATACATTACACAGTAATAAAACCATTCATGGAGCCATCGTCGCCACGACTGTTTAGTGAGCCTTATGCGTTCTGGTTTAAAGAGAATGATGCGATGCATAAAAAGTTTGATGATAAGTTCCGAGAGTGCGACGAAAAGGAAAAGGATGAAGAGAAGTGATATAGTTAAATTTCTTGTTTCATATAATTAATTAATCCATTGTATATTATTCATTTTACCTGAAAAATTACAATTTCATTATTGAACAATCGCAAGTATTATCGTATTGAATACGCTCAGTATGTAATCGAAGAAAAGAAGCGCTAGACAATTTTTAAAACACGAAAACACGTGATAACGTTGATTTATTATTTTAATTAGCGTTAGCGTTAGTTTCTACCGCTACTAGAAATTAAAGAGCGTGACTGTGCATAGCGACAGTATATCAATGCAGATACGTACGTATAGAAAACTCGGCGCGACTAGACATTTTTTGAGAATTTTATAATAAAGCTGATGTATAAAGATATTTTCATTATTTAAGTCGTTCTATCTTGACATACAGTGGCTGCCAAGAGTTTCAAAGCCCATAGCGATAGTTTCTATACTCATTTAATAACCTGGAGAATTTTTAAAAAATATTAATCCCATTCTGGAGAATTGATAGCGGTATTGTTAGAAAAAAGTGAACGCTATATGAATTTGAAGTGCAAAAAGAGGTAAAAATAAAAAGAAGGAAAAAAATATAAATATTTAGCCTATTCCGGGATTGCTGTGCTTCGCATATTATCATTATGTTTCGAACGGTGGTTACTTCGGGAAGCTGTGCTTTGTACGGCAGTTGCTTCACGTACTGTTGCTTTGCATATTTCGGAACGTTGGTGCTTCAGATAGTAGTTTGCTATTTTATACTAAAATGTGGATGCGTCAACGCGCGTTAATAATAATGTTTGATATATTATTAGAACAAAACTCTAACATATCGATTAGACACATAATCCTTGAAAACACCTTATCAAACTCAAAGGAAAGATGGAATCGAATTCTCATGATTGTAATATATAATGCGAATATTGTCAAAAAGTATGAGGAATGCTGGGAATTTTCCAATTATCACAAACGAATTTATAACGATGAATTGACTAGCAGAGATAAATGAGATAAATGAGATAAATGTAACAAGATAAAGAATATCAATTATTCGAATGGATTCCTTTTGGAAGATTTATCAACGTTTGATATCGATATCTTGTAAAAGGAGGTTTTAGGACAATTTATAAAGCAACCTGATTGGATGGACTATTGAATTACTATGTAATTCCTGTGTGAAATCATAAAAAAAATAAATAGAAACTAAATAATCGACAAAAGTTTTGAAATCACTACACAATTCAAAGCAAATTACTCGAGTTTATAAGCGAAGTAAAAAATTTCTAAAGTGAAAATTACTTTTTTGTTTTCTGTTATAATCAAATTTTTCAAAGCTGCTCTAAAATACAGCATTAATATTTATCTCTTTTTAATATTAATGTCAATGGAATCTATTTCGAAAAAATACTTGGCCATTATCGAATCAGTTGAATACGTGAAATGTAGATCTTTAACTAATATAATCTTTTGATTAACGTTAATGAAAAAGTGACTAACTTTGTAACCAAACTTAACTGTATATTGTTTACAATAGGATCTGCACGTCAGTATATCTGAACTTACAGTGCATGGTGTCACACGTTTCTTATACGATTTCTTATTATGGTCTGAATTGTGTGAATTGCAACGGTCTGTGAATTGCAACGGTCTGTGTGAATTGCAACGGTCTGTGTGAATTGCAACGGTCTGTGTGAGTCCTTTTTTGCGAAATATAAGAACAGGTCAGGTAGAAAGGATTTCTTGCAAACAACCATGACTTCTTTCAAAGATCTCTTAAGCTCATACAACATAATAGTGAGAGACCCCTTATTAAAGAAAAATATCTACATTTTCTATATATTTTTAGCGTTATGCAATGAACTGACGTTTGAAAAAAACGAACGAAGTACTATTAATAGAGTTTTCAAGAAAGACTATCAGGAAAGTATCTTATTTCTTCTTGAGTTATCTATAAATATTAAATTAATGATGATATATTTTGCTGAAATGACGAAGTCATTAATATGTTAAAATTCGAGGCCTCGTTAATGTATTATGAAATCTGATTAGCATCACATCGTTAAATATTTAAACCCCCTCTTTTTGAGAGGGCACGTTTACATAATTAATGTACAAAAAAAAGAAATTCGCTTTGAGGGTATTATATTACACCCCCCTCTTTTTGAGAGGCGCACGGATAATATAGCAAAGCACCCAAAAAGCTTTTCAATATGGATTTCTCTGAGATTCTGCAAAATTAATATTGATATTTAATAATACAACAATATACTAATGTAATCTTCCATATTTATATTACAGAAGCCAACACATACCGCTCTTGCAGATGCCTTTTACTGTTATATTCAAACATTAGGCACTGCATCATATCAAAGATATGTACAAAAATGCGCAAAAGATCAATACGTAGATAATTTGATCCAATATCAAAGTGAACGTCGTATGCAAGAGGTTGATGATAATTATGAGAACGATGAAGACAACAATAACGGCAATGGTAATAACGACGACGAGGACGACGATGATGATGACGATGGTGATGATGATGATGATAATGATGACGATGACAACAATAGCGACAATAGTGTTCGAGATCCAATATACATAGAGGAAAATGCGTCGCCATCATGCGTTGAATTCAATGAAGATGAAATTAAACGAAGGTTAAAAAAAGTGAGTTTAAATTTTCTCTTAATTACATACATAGAAGCTTTTTCATCGATAAATTATCAACTTCTTTATATTAGATAAGTCAATCATCTAATATGTCGAAAACAGCGCGTTTGATTATCAACAATATCGATCGAATTAAGTTAAAACCAAACGATTTGATATCAGACGGAATTCTCGAAATTAATTATATCAAACAAAATAATCGACCCTTATACGAAATTATTAAAAAAAATGGATGCCTAAAAGATTTCGCCCTTCCTCAATTGGATGACTCGGTTGGACTCACATATAAGGAAGTAGAATTTGTCCGTAATAATATATTATATGGATCGAGCGCGATCCCAGAAGAAAAATTCGAAAATCATATATTTTATAATTCTTTAATTACGTTTCTATCACAACTCAAAGGCGTTTGGAGATCACAAGCATACAAAGAAGAATCGGAAACGATAAACGAAAAATCATATTCCCACCAAATAGTTAAACCATTCATGGACTTTATTAACCACAACGTCGAAAATATAGAAACCAGATACGACGGACATCGCTCTGTGACTACACAAAATCGCAATGCCGGGAACGACGGACCAATAAGATATCCAGATGTCTTTTCGTATAAAGAAAATAAATTATATTCGTTTATTTATAAGTATTTGTTTGGCGAAATCAGTAACGGTCCTTTTGCGAAAGACGACATCAAACATATCATAGACGATAAAATTCGACTTGGAAAGTTCTCCAAAGATAATCTAAACTCGTTAAAATTTTTCATCGAATCGTTCGATGATTTGAAAGAGTTGGAGGGTTATCTTTATTCATTCTCAAATACCATGCTACATTTTTATCGCAAAAAAATGGATGTCTACTATATGGACTATGCAATAGAACCATTTTTCCGATTGTGTTTGATAAAATCCGTTGATCTTCCTTTGACAATGTCGACAAACGAACCAGAAACAGTCGATGAAGTAATAAGAACATTAAACATATTAATATCTATAAATAAGTCTGTTAAGAAAAATACTAGAACAATCGATCTCATAAATAACATAATAGTGGGTAAAACAAGAGGGGATAGAACTCCGGAACGAAGAAACGTAAGTTTGACCAATTCTACTCATCATTATTTCTTGGATATTGATGATTGTGAAGTATTGTAAAATATTGCGAAGCGTTGACACTATGTCATAGCACATGTCTAGTCCATTACGATTATCAAATAATAAAATAAAATTTGGCAGGACGCGAAATCCTCTATCATCTGATTCCGTGTGGCTAGATTATTGATTTAGTATTAATTTGGCAATGCGAGAAAAAAAAGAGGCATAATCCATCCACAATTCAGAAAGCGGACACAGAATGGCATTCTCCGAATAAGAGCTAATATTTATGTAGATACGAAGTACCATTCTCCGAATAAGCATTTGGATTTTTCCTCGTGTAATATTCATTGGTGAATAATTTGTATATAACATTTATTTGTCCCGAGATCCAACTCGAGACATTATTTTATTTGCGAAGTAGGCACTTCAGTACTATAAAACGGAAATATCTGAATCACATTCATCTGGATTGGCTGCTTGATCGTGTGGTTGTCTCGCTCGCTTGTTTTACAGCCAGTTTATTTATTATTCGTTTGCTTTTGAACATACCAGCCGGTGTGTTAGATACGTCCTAAAATTGTAGCGCAAAAAATCCCCCGATTAATCACACATTCACTCATTATCATTCGTGCAAAGGATCAAGAGGGTTCAAGCCAGGTATATTTTCTTCGAATAACCATCGAGAAGGCAGGATCTTAGGAAATACAAAAGAAAGTGTGATATAAAACATTCAGAGGTGACTTCGGATGCTTTCTCGCATGTAGTTACTTGCAGGTAATGTCTTTCTCATATCTCGTTCCAAAGATGGCGCGAACGGTGATATTAAAACGATCACGAATCACCAATCAGTTTTGGAGACATTGAATATATGAAATATAGTTATCCATTTTTTGGACAATAACAAAGTGAGTGAATGGGTCATTCCTTCGAAGAATTATTTTTTTATTGTGCAAAGGCTAATTTGGCAATATTCGATAGCTCTACCGCTACACGATTTTTTTGACAAATACGTACATGTACGTAGAAGCTTCCGAATGGAATGTTGAAATCTCAATTAGGAAATTAATTCAACCTTTTTTTTTTTACAAGTACATGTACTGACTGTACCGAGTTTGCTGAAAACCAATCAGTAATTTGAAAGATGGCAAAATTTCATTAATTAAAAAAATCTCTAGGTTTAGGTTTAAAATGAATACAGAAACTATGGACTTTGAATTGGTACTGAGGAGGGTGCTAAAATTTTTTTTGCGTAAACTTTTTGTGATGCATGCTTTTAGCAGCCACTGTATACTTGAACAAAAAAACTTTTAACTCTCTTAAATTCCATTTTCTATTCTTTCACTATCATCAAAACAACTTTATAATTTTGTAAGTGCAATTTTTATTAATATTGATATTATTACGATCGTTTGCTCTTATAATAAATCGATAATAAACTATGTGCTTTCGGAAATTATTATTCGTACTCGAGATGTAGGTTTCTTCATTGCATTATTTTTATTTTTGTTTCATTTATTCAAAGCAGATGTCAAAGAATGAGCGAATTCATGTGGAAGGAGTTATATTGACGTAATTTAATTATGTTATAGCCGCATCAATTTATGTATAAGCAAGCTCTCGTAACTAAATAGCTTTTGCAACATTTGACTATATACGAACTTACACAAGTAGAAAATGGTTAGTACGCTAGTGGGGGGGGGGGTTGGTGTATCACTGGCTGGATTTCCTAGTAAATTCATTGAATTTAGGAGAAAACCACTAGTGTACCGACCATTTTCTACTTGTGTTAAAGAAGCAGCATAGCTACTTTTAAATCCATGGATAATTGGTTACATATATTTGGTTTGTATTTGAATATATTGGCACAAATTTGACATTGATATTGAGAATTATGCAGAAAATTTGCTCTTAAGGAATAAAATATGATGTGAACACGAGGATAATCAACAATCATAAGTTTATTATATTTGTTTGGTTCAGGAGATGATAAAGCATGATCACAGCGACCTGCAAAAAGTACTCAAGCAAGAAGATATTGATCGTAAACACATGGAGTTACTGGGACTCTTTTGTGCCTAAGGCTTCGATACTACAAAAAACATCGCAAAAATTTTCAACATTTAATTTATATGCAGAACATCATCTAAACATTAAATGATTTGAATTTGGAATTACAAGAGTTTATAACTGCCAGTTTGATGTTAATGTACATAGTGATTAGCCATTTTTGATGTACATGTATCATGGATTCATTACGTTGTGTCGTTCCTAAAATTATCCGACTTAAGGGGTTTTCACAACGTGATAATGAGCTAGACTGGATTATTTACAGTTAAAGGGTTTCTTTGGGTGTTCTAAAGGCTTCCTGTGACGACTTGTACGCAAATCGACATTTTCTCAACGATGGGGGGGGGGGTGTGTTTGAAAAAGGAAATAGAATAGAATCACTCTTGTAACGAGAATCAAATCGTTATAACAAAATCTTGTTTATTCAATAATGATCACAAACGTGACAGGACTTATTGATACGGCCTGTCTAAGTAAACAAAATCAATTCTACAGGACTTATTGATACGACTTGTACAAAATAACAATTCAAAAGAAATCGACGGCTTATTTAGAGTGGATGAGCATCCACTACTTGCAATTATTCACAAGGTTTGAAGTTTGACCAAAAAAATAAAATAATAGTGTATTTACAAGTAGTATTACTATTACGGTTAGTATTTTACATTGATGGTTTCTCTTAGAACAACTAAACAATAATCGTTCGATGTCTTTCAATTGTCCCGATAATTGTCGTCCTCTTGATAATCACTATCGTTACGTGCATTAATATTGAAGAACGATGGGATGTTCATAACACAAGAAAAAAATGGTAATTCTAAACTTGGCTTCAATTAAATTACACAAGAGACTAATCATGGAAGGATTATCGTGTAGGTCGTTATGGAAAGATATTCATGTGGAAATCAAGGGTCAAAAATTATGGAATCAAAAGGATTTAATCACGAGATTCATTATAAAAAGAAACAATTCGTTTACAAATCCTATAAAAAAGGCAAGCATGTAAAACCGCGGAAATTACAAGAAATGGATTAAAAATTTTGCAAAATCGCTGCACCACTATATCAACTCATGAGAAAAGAACAATCCTTCACATGGAATGAAGAATGTCAAAAAGCCTTTGAAGAACTGAACAATATTTGATTTCATCACCAATCTTGACTTATCCAAATTCAGAAAAACCATTTCTTTTATATACCGATGCTTCTAGTTTTGGATTAGGTGCTGTACTTGCACAAAATGATGACAACAATAGAGACGGTTTTTGGTACAGGGGGATATAAAATTTTTGTAAAACATTTTGTGAACTAACCAACACATAAATTTTTATTTTATTTATTGTAATATCAAAGTACAAATTAGTACTTCGTCTGACTCCCATTCGCTGCAATAACAGCTTGAACCCGTTGTGGCATAGATTTAATTAAATTACGGTAATAATTCACCAGTATTACATCCCATTCCTCTTTAACCCACCTTTCCAATTGCGCAATATTTGAGGGTGGATCACGTTGACGAATTTTAATCTCAATAAATGACCAAATATTTTCCATATGATTAAGGTCAGGAATTTGAGCTGGCCAGGGGGGAACTTCTACATTCAAGGAGGCAAGGAAAGAACGAGCAGATTTCACGGTGTGAACAGGTGCGTTATCTTCTTGAAAAAGAAATTTATTTTTATTTTTTTTGCGTGAGATTTAATTGTGGAAATTGCATAAATAACAAGACCAACTAAGGGAACTAGTGGACCCAAACCAATCCAGGAAAAACACTTCCAGAACATGCGACTAACACTAATTCTTCTGAAGGTTCACACCACACACGTCCAAAACCTTTAGTTTGAAACCGTGTATAAGTAGACTCATCTGATAAAATGATTGTTTTAAAGTCTTCTACTATTCCGTGTTCACGAGCAACTGCCCAAGACAAATGTTTGATTTTGATTAACTTCAGAGATTAATGGCAACGTACGAATGAACTTCTTCCTTAACTAATTCATTACGGATAGTTTGTGTAGAGATAGTTTTTATATTATTGCTTATATAGTTTGGCGACAGGTATTTTAGTTTGGACTACTAAAAGCTTGAGTTGTTTGCGTGCAAATGTGTTAAGAATTCGTGGTCGACCGGTTCTTTTTTTTTTTGATCGGTGTGCTTCCATACTCGTAGTGTAGAAGAACGAGAACCTACAACTACAGAAATCTCACTGTTCGTATGTCCTAGTTTTTTTGCCGTAATAATCTCCCCTCTTTGATGTTCATTAAGTTCTTTTCCAAGACATATCAATCGCGATAATTTTTATGTGACGATTTATGTATGTATAACCGTGTGGTTCACTGTTGCATTTTACAAAGATGCAGATGCAATTTGTTATGATTATCGTTATACATGTAGATCGCCACTATAATTAACTTTTCACTAAGAAATGGCACGAATTTGACAGTTTGTGTGTGCTTATGCGTGTTCCGTGCGTCAAAAACGTATTTATGTACATGTATATGGAATTTGTCGCTTGTACGTACATGTATTATGCCGAGCCATTTTGTACTATTCCTTGCAATTTCCGTGGATCTTTACGTGCTTACTTTCTTTTCTAGGGAAAATGTATTCGAAATATTTGCTATTGTTTAAATTTAACAATTATAATATTTACTATTCATAAAAATACACAAGAAATTTAACAGACAAGTGTAAAATATTGTTGCTGACAATAAGACTGAGTCCATATGACCATAAAACTGCAAGCAAACTAAATTTATTCGTGTTCTGCATCCTTCCTTCAATCAAACTATTTTCATCACTGTTTCTTTGTACATGTTTAGCATATTTATATACACAACAGAAATCTTTCTGATTATACAACTCATTGTAACAAATATCACTGTTACCGAGATAGTCGTCGCAGACTTCTCGAGCCTGTAAATGACCTGTTTATAATCGAAAATATAAATAACCTTGGCCCATTTAGTATTACGTTTATAGTAAAAGCCTACCTAATGGTATGCGAAACCGAATAAATTTCGAGTTCATATTAGTGTTTCGATAATTATAATTTTTAATAACTCATACATTCTTGTAATTGTTGACTTCGCTGATGTCGATGATTTCGAATGCGTAAATTCTACATGACTAATTCTATTGAATTTTATTTTTGCTTTACAATGATTTGCTTAAGGAAATCAAACAATAAATTAAATAATAGGTTATGAGTAATAACGTATTGTTAATTATATTAATTCTAAAACATAGTTAAAAATTTTACAAGTTATCAAAATATGAACATCACGGTGAAAATACAAGATTTAAAAGCATAAAATTGTATTACATGAATAATTCAAGAAATAACAGTTATTATTCGATTTCAATTTACGTTTGCCTCCACTAATGCCATTTTCATAACAGTTACCAAGTTGTAGGGATAGGGATCGATTCTCAGAATCGACTTTAATTCGAGAATTGATTCTAGCGCTAGCAACAAAATCTATTAACGTTAACAATGCATCAAAAAAAGTAAATTAATTGATCGACACTTGTTAACAAATATGGCAAATACATGTACGTACACGTATTACGCACAAACGATTTTGTCGTGTAGCAATAATAATACCTGATCCTTTAATGATAACCGAGAAACTGTTGCCAATATAGTGTTTAATGACTCTGATAGTGATAATACTGGCTCCGGAAATAACCATATCCAAATTTGAATGATATTTATGAAACAGAGAATAACGAAACAGATATACTGTATACTCAGATGATAATAATTCAATTGACTATATTTTCTCTTTGCAAACTAGTATATCTACATATTCAACAAATACTACATTTTCAACCAATCAAAGCACAACTGCAACTATTCCAACAAAACAAAAAGTGTAATGAAAGCTAAACTAGAACCAATTATGTATGTAATTATTTTAAACAAACAGCGCCTGATATTATTATTTGTCAAATAACAGGATGTGGAAACACTTGTTTATCATATCTACTATAAAACAACACCTCTCAAAGACAGTTGCTGAAAGACAACAAAATCCTACTAGGACTCAGAAATTATTACCAAAAATTATAAATGATGTAGCAAAAGTACATCATAGTGGCAAACAACAAAAAGAAATTAATCGGTGTTAAATTTGACCTAGTTAAAGTTATGTAATAAGAATAGAATCGATTTATATATTTGAGCATCGATTAATCGAAACTGAGAATCGATTTTGGGTTGAGAATCGATTCCTATTCTACCAAGTAGAGGTTGGAATCGAATCGAATGATCGCCATACGATTCGTTTGACCTAAAATTCAACCTAATAATTTGAATTTCTAACTAAATAATTCGGAAATTCAATCAACACAATCTAAAATTATTTTGCAAAATACAGTGAGCGCTCGTTGCGGTAACACTCTTTCAGTTAAAACCATCTATAGTCACACCAATTATAGTCACATCTCTCTATAGTCACCCTATTTTACTTTCCCATAGTAAAAAAACCCTCTAAAGTCACATCCCCTCTATAGTCACCCAATTTTGCTTTCCCGAGGTGGTGACTATAGAGAGGTTTAACTGTAACACAAAATATCTTCCCCCGATCTCATTACTGTAAAAAGCTTTCATTGTATTTCTCGATATACAGTGAGAGTTCCTTACAGTAACATGATCTCGAAAAGAGATTTGGTGTTATTATATCGAGATGTTACTTTATCGAAAAAAATAAATACAATGAAAGCTTATTACAGTAATGAAATCGGAAGAAGAGATTTTGTGCTATTATAATGAGATGTTATCTTAAAGAGTCTTACTGCAACGAGCACTTACTGTAATAATACCAAATCGCTTCCCCAATCACGTTACTGTAAAGAACTCTCACTCTATAATTCGAATTTATTTCTAAACTCTAATAGATATATAATTCAAATTATATATTTATTCGAATTTTTTAGATTCGAATATTTGAAAAATACGAATCGAATCCAAATAAAACTGAATCTGAATTTTCGAATCCAAACTCTACTTATGGAAAAGGATTTAAGGGTGTCGTTAAAGTAAGAAATTAATTAGTGATCATTAAATCGCATAGTCGCTTAAGTATATGATAAATATATTGTAGCCTCTCTGATTATCCACTTCCCATTGTAATGAGAATGTAAAATCTCCAAGTAAACGGCGTCATTCGGTACATATCGATAGTACATGTACTGTATATCGAATACCCAATACATGTTTTACGCATTTGCTGTATTAAAAAGAGCCTTTTACTATTTACACACAAAAATAGAAGTTACGAAAGACTTCATTTTTTATGCACTCTGTCTCATTTTTTATGCATATTGATAGAAATTGATGTTAACACCACAAATGGAAGTCAAACAAAAGAACATGAAATAATATAAGTCATGGTAACTGAGGGTGCAAGCATATTGTCATGTCATAACCCCGCCCCTATAAGCCATAACTTTTATATGCCGTATGGTTAGTACCCTAGCTATGGCGAAAAAAGGATCAGATCAAAAAATTCTACGGTAATAGAGGTTATTGTTAAAGGTTATGATTAGGGTTAGGCTAGAGCTGGAGCCAAGATTATATGTAAAATTGCCTTCCTGGCATTTTTTTTAGTGTACCAAACTAGATTTATGCATCTGTTTCCCGTATTTTTTACATTTTTTGCTTTTTTCATTTTCTTGCGTCGGATTTGTTTTGCCGGGCTGATAAAAATTTTACGCATTTTTATTGGTTTGTGTCACCATCAGCACGTGATACGACCATTATTTTTTTGCCATGGCTAGGGTACTAACCATTGGATGAATGAGATCATGATATCATCTTGTATGCGACATCTGTCCAAATAATATTCCTAAAAAACATGCCAATCGCTTTGGGACTTAACGACTTTATCTGATCTATCTGTGGGGAAGAAACTCAATACTTTGCACTTGCAGTACTGCGACTAATGATACCTGACGAAACTATTTGCATATTGACGAAATGTTTCGTCACGTCATTCGTCGGACGAAACCCATGATGATTGAAACCTCAAAATAATAGCTTAAATCACATGTACAAATCAGAATTTTAAAAGAATGTTACGTTATTAGAAATCTAGTACATGAGTTTGATTGGCTGAAGGCCATGGACGATCAAAATTATGCTGAATTTTGGCCAGCATTATGAAAACTTGAGAAGAATGTATAATTTTAAATCTATATCTCTCTGGTAAAAATTATGCAAAAAATAAACCGATATTGTTTTTATGGTTTAGTTTGCCAAAATTGTCGTCAGACGATTCGTCATTCGCCACTTACATTTCCAAAGTGACCATAGCGAAAGGTTTCGTGAAAATCTATACATGTACCAGTACATGTACATGTATTATTGATATTTAAATATACATTTTGCGCATTCGTTCATTTCCAAGAATGGTCATCATTGTCAAGTATCGTGGGTTACGAGCTAGTATTTTATTGGTCAGAAGGTTTCGTCATCGTCAAGGATTACGTATTAACTGCGACTCTTCAAAAGATCCTAAAAATTAAAGAGTACATTAAACTTGAAAGAGAAATTAAAAGAACGTGGTGAGGAGATGAAATTGTAAAAAAGTATTCCTACAAAGATAATCCACTCAAACGCAGTTTACACCAGTCGAAACTCTACCAGAAATTAATTTCAATTACAAATGATGCAGGCACTGTACTTTTATTTCTAAATATAAATTATATGGACATTTCATATTAGTGAACATTAGCTTGACAAGTATCAGTTTGTTTGTTCCCAACAAGGTAAACTTGCATTATTATCTTTTTCCTAATTTCTTTAACTCGTTATTATTTCTTCTTTGGTGTGCAAAACAGATTTATATGAACTTAACAAGAATGAAAAGCTATCAAGTGTCATACAAGACGAACTACATATTCATGATGAAGCACTATAGTACAGTTCCGGCGGAAAGTAATGGTGGTGAGATTGTTATGTAAATTTTTACTATAATACTAGCATTTTTATAGTACTAGATTTATAGCTAGCTAATAACAATTAGAAAATAAAATGTGAGCGCATCATGACAAGTCATTTACCCCCATTTGTATGTTTTAAAATTTCTAAAACTTATTTTCTCAATAACAGTCCAGTGATCAGAAGTTTATAATTTTGGTCTTATTAAATTCACCTCAGTAAGACGAACATTTGATAATAATCAGAAAAATATTTATCGAATTATTGCGATTTTTAGTTTTTTTTTTAATTAAAAAACGTTCAAGTTACAAAATTTTTAGACCGTTAAATTTTATTCAAACTTGATATTTTGGGGGCATAATGTCCTATTTTTTTAATTTTATTATATAATTGAATAATAAATAGAAAAATATGGAATGGAGTGATAATTTTTTATCAAAATTTATTATACTTGCATAAAAGTTATCGTTATCGTTATATACTATAATTTATTCAATTACACACGACCTTTTACAGACATATCAGACTTTCTCGTATATTTCCATACTTTTTACGTGCAAATTTTCATATAGGATACCAAGCTCTGTCGAAATAAACTTCGCTTTACTATACACTGATCCAAAAAGTCTTAATTCGAATAAAGAATACTTTTTCAAAGAATTAATACCGAACAAACCTAAACGACGCAATTTTAATTGAATATTGTTATAAAACTTTTTAATATCTGTTTCACTATTTTCATTATAAAAGTTAGTCAGCAAGAGGACGCGAAATTTCACCAAACACCTTTCTAGCTAAAATTACACTTTATACTAAAGATTCTAAAATTATTAACGGAAAAAAAAACATGAAGATTCACATATGAATGAAACTCTAAATGATTCTCATGAAAAGAGAAATTTTTGAAGAAACTAATTTAGTAGTTGAGAAAAATTTTTTATGCTCATAATGAATGATGAAAGGGCTATTTTTATCGAACTAATAACTACTCTGGAAACTGTTAATCAATGAAAAAGAAACCATTAGAGAAATTAGGTATTTATTAATTTTGATGATTCATTTGTTTGCGTTAATACCTATATTGTTTATCATAACGATAAATTAATGTATGAACTTATAATGCATCTAAAAAATAAATATACACACGCTACGTGTCTAACTGATAAACTCTATTTTAGAAACCAAATCTGATGCGCATATTCACCGATATTAGAGGTTTTGGGACAATTTTTGCACAAATACAAATGAGAAGATGGAGAAAATAGCTCTAAACGATCCAATGGATATAAATATAAAGTTGTGTCTTTATCGTTATTTAACGTTAACGTTAACGTTAATGTTAAAGTTTATAAACGAGGAAAAGATGAACAATGCTTGTGAAGCTCAAATTAACAATTTTGGACTTACCGACTGAGCATATTTAGAAAAATCTAATCAAAGTATTGCCTTTATTAGTCCAGAAGTATAAACAGAAAGCCATACACTAAAGCAGCGAATATTTCTAGTTTTGGGATAATTATGAACGAAATTTTAATAGGCGAACGACCGACCATCCAGTGAACGGAGTCATGATATTGAATAATGGATTGTATAGCGAAACTTATTTCTTCCCAAACACAATAAAATTGCTTTAATTTGGTAATGAAGAAAAATCAAATAATACACGTACGTTACATTTTAAACGCTTTTTTAATAGAATTGACCACTATTTTCTCAAATATGATGAGAACATGTTATGATCGTTAAAATACGTAGACAGAATTGAGTTCCGTATTTTATAAATAATATTGTAATATGTACGCATTTAGTATTGAAGTAAATAATATTACTCATAATGCAGTATTTTCAATAGACTTATGCATTGGATATATTTATCTTTTAAGATGTTTCTGCCAAAGGATGATTTTTCCATGCATGCATTATCTTTCTTAATAGACGAGGTTTTTTCTGAACGCAATTCATGACAATAAAATCCTTATTTTTCTTTACTTGTTTATAGATCCGAACGATTTTAAAAAAAATCTTGTCCAAGATTGATAATCGATCAGCACCAAGTTTCAGAAATCGGTTCGTTTGAAAGTTGAACAAAAATTGAAACCGGAGAATATCACTTCTTTTGATTATCAATCGTAAGAGATTATATCCGAGTAAAAACCGATCATATTCCAAAAAAATACTTTGTACATGTACATGTATGAAACATTCTTTTTAGATTGAAAAAGTTTAATTTAAAAGAACACTGTGGCAAATACAAAGAAACAATCAAATACGTAGTACAGAAATCACAATAGCTCATTGAAAAACCACTTGTGGCGTATCACGAAATAACAATTGATATCATATTACCGTTCTAATAACAATATATCATTACGTAATACATATAATACATGAACTATATACATGTACCACTGTATATATAACATTAAATAAGGATAATCATGGATGTACGTACATGTATTTTTAGAAACTCGATTTAATTTATCAAGCTTTACATTATATGTACTATATCTCAAAACGAAAAACAAGACCTTCTTGAAAATTCAATAGAAAAATAATTAGGCCGAATCAAGCACAATGTAAATCTGCTAGAGAATACGTATACTCTTCGAAAAAAATATAAATATACGTAAATGCACTTGAAAACAAAACAACTTGCAAAAAATAAAAAATAAAAAAAATAAAAAATAAGAAAATAGAAAATAAAAAATAAAAAAGTGTATATTACGAGTGCTCATCCTTAAATTACCGTTCAGAACAAGACAATGCTTAACAAAGATCGTAACCTTTTCTCGCCATATCCCATTCGAAATGGAAGTTTTAATTCAACGGATCTTGATAAAGTTAAAGTGCCATATCCATTGGGCGAAACTCTTATCAACATATTAAGGAACAAATTGAATGAGTCGTCAGGGAGGACACCAAATTGTTTTATATTATACCGAACACTGTTTACATATATTTTAAGATATTATGGATTCCGTCTTAGTGCAAGCGAAATATCTCGACGAGCATCGGAGGGTTGGAAAAAACTTGCTGATCCAGCTAGGCAAGAATATGAAAAAATTGCTAGCGAATACATTCCAAAACGTGATTTTGTGCCTTCTGTTAAGAATTCGAAGGATAAATACAAATGGCGTATTTATACCGAGTTTTCTGATATAAAAAGAAAAAAGAACAATACATTTGTGAACAAACCTTCAAAACCTATTGCAACAACTTTATTACAAGAACCGCCCATGACAACAATTAATGCTCAAGAAAGTACAATTTTTCCATATACAGAGTTGAATTATATTAATCCAGAAGTCATGATATCTGAAGAGCCTTTTACAAATATTTTGTGGGAAGCAAATCAAAATCTAATGTATCCAGAACTTTCTATGTATCCAGAACTTTACATGATAAATTCTTATGTTTATAATGACATTGACAGTACAGAAATCGATTTTCAAAATACCTGTACTCCGACTACTTTTCAAGAGACAGAATATAATTTTGGATTATAATTAATTATATTTTTTAGTAAATTTCACATCTATATAGCAAATTTGATCCAATACATCTAATTTATGTACTGTACGTATAAGTTACCAAGCTGATTACGTAGTAAGTTCAAAAGCAAAAAAGAGCCTGCTTGTCGCTTGACTCATAATTTCATTTTAAAAATAATATACATATTAGCTATAAAATAAAAGTATTATATTAATTAATTAATCAATCAAATGTTTCGGTTGTTTTGCTGCTGAAAAGAAATTGCATTTGTTGATAAAAATTGTGGTTGCGTTTTTGTTATTGAATGATATAGCAGTTGACGGCTCGGATTTCAAGTCGCCGCTTCAATTGTTGCAGTATTTTTGGAAAAGCCAAGAAATTACGAGATTATGACAATTGGTAAGTGTTTCTTAATGTTAAGAAAAGAGCCAAAAGAGCAAATAAAGGTTGGTCAAAAAATGACTTTTCATATTAATATTATGGGTATTCAAACAAGAACTTAATTTCATGAATGCCACGAACAAAGATGGAAACTTATGTTCTTGTGAGAAAATTGTCTTTTATTTGAGAACAGTTCTCTATGCTTAAATTTGTGAGAACATTTTGTTAGACAAGTATTGAATTATAGTGTGAGGACGATCTTATTGTTATAATTTCTTTAAATGTCTCCCCTTTGAAATTATACGATTTTGGCAAAACATCTAATTATCGGCTTCTTCTACTCTTTTCCTTTTCAATTCATATTTATTTTTTAGAAAAATGTATTTATCGCCGCTGGTGACAATCACCGGACAAAAAAATTTAAACAGGGTTAGGGGTTAGGTGAAAAGATTACTTAAAGCAAAATTTTCTTAGGAACATTTTGAAGGCTGTTTTTCTAGGCAAAATTTCGTGATATTTTATAATACTCTTTCAAAATACATGTACTCGTTTTGCTTGAATTTTTGCGATTTGATTGTATATTTCTACCAGTAATAGTCACCGGCCCTATTGTTCTAATGAGAACATTCTTTGAAATGCAAGGATATTCTTTCTTACACATGTACATGTATAAGAAAGATTGGTTAGAAAAACTAAGTTCTTATGAAGAACATGCACGTTGTGGCGTACACATTTATGTACATTGTGGCGTACATATTTGATGCATGTTTTGCATTCATAGCGATAGGTGGAAATTAAGTGCATGTACATGTATTAGGTGCGTTCATGTAATAAAAGTCAACCATAATAAGATTAAACTTTTGTCAGCATTTCGACGTCATTTATCCACAACTAGCGACTCACGTGGATAACGGATTCAGCACTTAATTACGTAGAATTCTGTTTGCAGTGATTATTTCGCATAGACGTGTATCTATAATTAACACGAATTCCGATTTTGAGCATAAAGATAAGCTTTTTTTTTTATTAACAAAGCAATATTTTCTTCGCTGTTACGTATAAGGGAAGATGAAATCATGGATAGAAGAGGATGAAACGATTTCATCTTAATACATGTACTTTGGAAAAAATTAGCTGTGCATAATGAAAGAATATTCTCTGTACAATTTTTTCATTGTTGAGATTTAAACAAAGTGATACGCGTCGGATATAAATCTTGATATGGTTAGTGTACATTTGTGTACGTCCGGGAAATTTTCCAGTAAGAGTAGAGACATTAATCAGGTAGTTTCCGGTTAATAGGAAGCTTACCCCCTCCCACCTGATTTTTTTGATTGGCGAAGAATTTTTTAATCACTTGATTTTGATCTACACCTGATTTTTGTTCAGACCTCCTCCCCCCTAAAAACATCACCTGATTAATGTCTCTACCCTAATAAAGATTTGATTTTAGGGTCAGAGTTAGGGTTAGGGTTAGAGCTGAGATTAAGCTTATATGTAAAATTGTCTTCCCAACATTTTTAATTAATACTCCAGGGTATACATAAGCATATGTCTTCTCTATTATTTCATTTTTATTTTCTTGTGTCGGATTTGCTTAGCCGGTTTGATCAAAAATCCACGTATTCTCATTGGCTGCAGATCACAAAAATGCGCCTAACCAAAATGGATTTGGATGTACATAGATGCACTCGGATGTTCCTATCTTTCAACAGACACATATTTTATATCGATATTGTCCATTACAAGCTTTACCGTATACTACAATTAGAAATTATACATTATTAAATGCACAATGATATGTTGGTAGTGATTTTTATGTCACAATATTGTATTTGACCTTTATCGTTATGATTCAAATAATCTATTGACTGAGAATTTTTCGCGCGTCGTCTAGTAATGTATCTCTACAAGTGTTGTCATTTTTAAGCAGCCTTTAGTAAACCATATATGAATTTATTACTGATTTCATCGTACTTGTTTATTCATAATGATAATAAAAAACTATTTTAATCTCTCTTCTAATACTAGATTAATTCTTGCCAAGACGTAAATTAGCATGTAATGCAATTACCGAAAATTTTAATATTCTTTTAAAAACTTGGAACAACGAAATTTATAAAGTGAATTATATTTGTTGATTCGTCGAAAATAATAGTACTTGGTCTTACAATCTTTTTTATCGGATATCTACCGCTACCAGGAAAAGTAATGGCGGACTAATTTTTTCAAAAATTAAACAAAGAACACCAAAAAATAAATTTATTTATGAAATTGCATTTAAGTAGGGCCACATGCCCATATCAAGTATGCCCTCCTTTTGTCATCAATACAAGCTTGAATGCAGTTCGGCAAACTACTAATACCTCATCAGGAAGATTTTCCCATTCCTTCTCAACTAGCACGACAAAAATCTCCAGTGACACCGAATTTTTTTGAGTGATGATTTTTCAACATTCAAGGGAAAGTAGTTTTACTAATTATCAAATTCATTAGAAATTATGTTAGATAAGGTGCTAGTTTTCAAAAAATTATATTAAATCTAAAATTTCGCGCTGAGCATTTTACTTAGATTGAAAGCTAGTGACATTTTGAACTAAGTTCATGTATTTGCGTATTACACATGATCTGCTTTAACGCATCCCCTTTTAGGAAATGCCAAAATGTTTTCAATCAGATTAAGATTGGGGACTGTATGATAGTGATGTTAAATGGCTTTAAATGACCCCGATGACAAATTCAAGTGATTCACAATCTTTTATCCAATAAAATTTTGTGACGTCATTATAAAAATGACTCACTGAACCTCTATTAGTTGAAAAATAAATCACATGACAAATAACCTAAATGACCTAATGAATAATGACCTACGTCATTTCGAGATCGTTTACCATCACAGCTGTATGATGATCATAGAAGAACAATTGGATATCATTTTGATCTTGGAGATGCTTGAGATCATTATTTAGCTGGAAATCCATTTGATGATTTCAATACAACTTCTTTGACTTCTCTATATAGTTTAAATTTATTTTCTTCATGATACTAATACCCGTTATATTTGTGTGACAATGCTTCATAAATCGGTATTCAAAATTGGTAAATATCAACCAACAACATTACTGTATATGTCTATCATGAATTTTAATAGCTCTCAGAAATTATAGATGAGAGAAAGTACTTTAAATGAAGTTTCTTTTCATAATTTCAAGCAAAATTATTCTCAAACCCTATAAAAAAATCATGGAAAAATGCATCAAAATATTATGGAAAAACTTGGGATTAATAAGAACTGCTCCGGAATTAGCACAATTTCAGGAACTGACTCGGAAAATGAGAAATATATTTTGGGGACTGTTCCGGAAAGCTCATGAGTGGTTCTTGAAATTCCTCAACAGTTCCAGAAAATTCCATAGGATTGACAATTTATTTTCATAGAGCAATATTTTTATACCATCACAATCGATGAATCGAATCTAAATAAGAAATTGCTATTTTTTTTTATAAATGACTAACAAATTAGCATTATCAATTTATCTTAATTGATAATCGTTATCATTATCATTAAAAATAGATATCACTATGGCTCGATTATATAACTCCGATGTACCAACTCGTGTAAGATAAAATATTGCAATTCTATTCGTCAAACAGAAAATCAAATTGGTATGAACCGAGTGAGAGTTCAATTACTACATGTGCATACTACTCTGTTATTATACACTTTGTCTTTCATGAACCCAAATGTGATCATACAAAAGTTCGTTACAAAGTAAATTACTACGTTTCATTATATAATGTTACATAGTATTATAAGTAAAATTCAAATGTGCACTTTGTGTTTAAGTTTTGGCTTGAAAGGTTTGTGTATGTCTCAAGTATTATTTTAATATTAGATAATATTTCAAATTACAAATACGAATTTCGTATTTGCTAATCATAAACAACTTATGTAATCATAATCATAAATAGAATGGAATAATCAGTTCAGTAAACAAATGTCATTGTCAAATTATATTATATCAAAATCAAGTTAGTTTTTATGTAAGTTCTTGCATGCTGAGGATAATAAAAACTAGCATACTGTCGTATGAATAATATTTAAAGCGCATTCGGACCAATTTTGTGCATTTAAAAATAATTGCTTTTAAAACAGAATAGTGAATATATTTGGCAAATTTAAATAAACATTTACATTTCAAGATTATTATGCCATTAACTAATAACTGCTGTTTTGTCATGCAAATGTGAGATCAGTTAAGGCTTCTATTACAAAAACCAACTTGCATTTACATATAAATGTACATCTCGTCGAAGATTTACTGATTTGGTAAGAATCGCTGAGTTAAGCATGCATGTTTGAACGGACCATCAGCCCAACGACACAAGGAAATGAAAATGTGAAAAATACGGGAAACAGAGGCCTAAATATAACTTGGAGTACTAATCAAATCATCTCAAATCCCAATATTGACAGTGATACTAATCTTAAAAGTGATTAATTAACATTACAGTAGAATAGATTTACCGATTTGGCAATAATCGCTGAGCCGTACAACGATGTGCCAATTTCTACATGTGATCGCTAAATAATGATAACATTTACGTAACACATAAAGAATTCTGACATATTTACATCTGTTCGTTTAAAGATCTTGGCATAATTATGAAATATGTTTTCAATTTTCTTGCAGTTTAGAATGTATGTTCAAAACAATGAAAGCTTTATGAAATTTACTTTGTTTGTTTAAAAGTTATTATTAGATTTTGAAGATACCAAAAATTTATGTTTATTTAAATAAGTAATATTACTTAGTGTTTTTGAAGAGCTATTTTAGCAAAATACACATTTGACACTTTAAAATCATGCGAGTTTGAAAATTTGGCATGTTATTTATATGTCTATGTATTTTGAAATTAGGCACGCTCACTTATGATGTGCTGTGACCAGGCGGAATGAGCCAATACTGCTTTCTATTTAGTATGAAAAAAGGTATTTCTTGTCCCTAGAATCTCCCAAGAGATAATATAGTAAGAATGTATAATATTACGATAAAATAAAAGATATATGAGATATTCTGCACTATAAATTTTCCTCTCTTTTAGAACTGAAATAAAAAATAATGCACAATATTCGATAATCTATGGTTTAAAATATTAATGTTGAAGTCGACAGAATATACAAGCCAAGTACGAACACGTTATTTTATAAAACTGATATTACAAAAATTCCGATTGAAAGAATCTTGAAGATTTAAAAACTGATTCGATATACTAATTTTTATATAATTTTTCTAATGGGACGGCTCAAAAAACAATTAACGTCGAGGAATTTCATAAATGACAATTTTTCTATTCTAAGGAAAAAATGCTTCTATTTATTTACGTTGATTGAGCAAAAATTTTTGATAGTTTGTCATTTTCCTCCCTTTTTCCAGCACTTGTCCCATATAAGCTCAACAAATTTCTAATAAATCAAAAAGTTAACTGTAGCACAGGTAGAAACGCTAGTGTTAGAATCCGAATTTCTGGTAGTTTCCATAGTAAATTTATAAGGATTCATTGAATTTAGGGGAAACCATATAAACCTCAAAAATCCCTCTAACACTAGTGTGCTGCCCCACCACCCGTGTAGAAGACCAAATTGGATCTACAAAGTGCATCCCAAAATTAGGATTCAGATAGTTTCGGACTTACCGTGCTCGTCAGAAGTGACGTGCTCCCTTAACTTTCCATAGATCATGTGTAATTTTCCGAGCACAAAGAACATTACAGATGCTGATCGAGAGCTTTTATATCGGGTATTGTATGTTCATAAACTTTCATGCCCAACTATACAATAAATCGGTCACTTTATGACATAATATCTCGACATCTAGGCAAATCAAATGGTGGTATTTTCACTCAAATTGGACCAATAGACGTCGAGATGTCCTAAAGTGACCGATTCATATTTGTCGATCAATTTTCATTAGAAATTGATCACCAAAAAAATGAGTCGGTCAATTTAGAACATAGTATCTTGACCTCCAGTGATCCGATTCGAACAAAAATAATACCATTCGACTTGTCTAGTCAAGACGAATCGAATGGTATTAATTTGTTCGAATCTGATATTATGTCCTAAATTGACTGATTAATTTTTGTTAGTACCAATAAAAATGAATCTGCTACTTTAAGACGCAATATTTCGACATCCAGTGACCCGATTTGAACAAAAATAATACTGTTCGATTCGCCTCGACTAGGCGAATCGAATGGTAGTATAATTGTTCAAATCGGGTCACTGGATGTCAAGAATTAGATTATTGAATATGTGTGTTATGAAATAACTGATTATAGATGTATTTAGGACGTGAACATACAACACCCAATATAGAATAAAAGGTATCAACGATCAGCATTTGTAATGTTCTTTGTGCTCGGAAAATTTTGGTACATTACACATGATCTATGGAAAGTTAAGGGGGTACGTTACTTCTGACGAGCACTGTATAGGACGAACGTTTCAGAGTTTGTAGTTTCTCCTGAATACTATGTAAAGCAAAGGCCTATATAAGTAATCTAGGTCTAATAAAATAAAAGACAACAAAAAATGGAATATTTTCGGCTCCTAATGATCGTCCAAATAAATACAGTACGTATATCGATATACGTATATAAATATGCACCAATGAACAGGCGACAACTATACAAATTATATTGTACCACTTTAACCTCCAAATTGAATAGTGACACAAATACTTAATTTGGACTACTAAGATCATAATTGTGAAATCTAATACATGTGCATGTATCTCGATTGATTTTGTGGAAATCCTGGTGAAATTGGTAGAATACATGTATATAGGACATTTCTTATTACGTATTGACTCATATGTGGTTTATCTCGGTTATTAGGTCAATTAAATAATTCAGTTACACAAAAAGGGATAAATAACTTGTTTTTCAATTACAGTTAGAAGCTTTGAATACTTGATCATATTTTTTTTGATCCCGGAAGTTACTGTAATTTATTTATATAATTATCACATTTGTTATGTGGTTCTTATTTCTTAATAAGAAGAGTTACATCATATTCATCATTCTGCATGTATCGGAGATCATTGTGTCGGTCGTTATTATTCAAAGTACGTATTATATCACAATTCATTGTATATCGAAAATAATCAAATTAGTATTTCTGTATTTTCATCGATAGAAGACTTTATCGATGTTTTTTTGTTTAACACGATTTGCTTGTATTACCTATTTATTTCCGCCGCCGCCGTTGTTGTAATAAAGATATTTAATATTTTGTAAATTAAAATAAACACATGGACGGATTTGATGTCACAACTGATTCAACTTCGGTCGAAATACCAGAATTGAGCCAAATCTAATTGTTATGAGATCAAATCAGCCCATATGATAACGAAGGTATCTTCTTGTTTTCCTAAAACGAAAAGTCTAAAAATAGACGAATAAATGAAAATTACTAGACCTCCTACATGTACGTGTAATATTAGAATGTGAAAAAATGAGCTAATTGATTGCTCCCCCTGATTTATCATATACATAATTCGATTATATGTGTCACTTCCCTTGAATACAAAGAAAGGTTCACTCACATTCAAAAGACTCGAAGCTAAAAGGTATTGAACAAGAGAAAGTCGTATTTACGGAATTCGATTCTTTGTGATATTCAGACTTGCTTGCTTTTTTTCGATCCTTGTGCCTTTCGTTTACTCGAAACTTTAATCATATATAAATATTCGTGATGAACACGAACAGTTATAATGATAAATTATCGATATCGTTATCAATAGCACTCACGCCTTGGATTTCAATTGTAGGACACGAACAAATAAATTACTTCAAAATTAATTATCTGATAAATAAATAAAACGTAAACAAATGGATCGGGTACATATTTATACATACAATGAACTTGGCGTAAATAAAGACAAAATGATGGTGAGGATTGCGAGCCATGACCCAAACTACATATATGCTATCTATATTATGCGCAGTTTTTTTCCAACCACATCAGACAGTTAATTAACCGACGATTTAATAGAATTAGCTGTATAAAGAGACACATCGGACAGTCAATTAACCGACGATTTAATAGAAGAGTGTATAATTAGCTATATAAGAGACACAACTATTGTCAAGCTTCAATTTCGTCTAAAGATTAGATTCTTGCTCTTTTTTTTTTAGAAAATTTATTAATTAAAACATGAATCGACCTCCACCACCGCCGCCCCCGCCGCTTCCACCACCACCTCCTCCAGCGGTACATGCAAACATTATTGATGGAATTCCTTTCAATGACCATATAATTATTATTCCAAACCAGAATGATACTTTAAGCATATTGCTTGAAACTTATAGCATCGGTACATAATTAAACTCGACTTACATCGTTGATTCCTGTCTGTTCTATTCTGTTTTGTTCAACTATATTTTATCTTCAATTCTTGTGCATATAGTCCATCTCGTCTTTGAAAATTTATCGTAATGATATATAATTAATTTTTCATACTCAAAATTCTACACACCACTTGAAGTACAATACACTACTTCCAAATATTTTTTTTACTTCATACTGCATGTTTTTATGACTATACACCGTAAAATTCATTTCGACTAATGTTGCGAGCGATATTAATATCTTCCGCCAACTGCCTAGTGAACCTAATGACCAAAAATCCGAATTCTCCAATGAATCCCGAGACTGCCAAAATTAAGATCACGTGGCGAAGTTCGAAAACCATTCCGAAACGTCTCGAAATCAAACGGCTGTTACAGATCCGGACCACAACACTATTTTCGACTTTATGAATATTCGATCTATGCCAGTATTTCATTTTAAATCATTTTTTTCGTGTCAATGACTTTAATAATAAAATTTACTTTTTTTAAAATGTTCAATCCAATATTCTACATGTATTATAAAACATTTATTGATTGAGGTTTGTTAGATTTCATCGGGAATCGAATCTATTGAATAAAACATACGCGTACGATCATTTAACAGCGTTAATATTTCCATAACGATAAGCAGCGAAGATTATTTCCATTTCTTTAATTTTAGCTTCTATCTGTTATATAATAAAATGATAAGTATTAAATTGATACGTAACTACAATTGTTTTTTACTGTATTATCAATAAGTTAGAGTGGGGGCGGGTTTCCATTATGAGTTTTCCATATCGATATATGAAGGAGAGTAAATGTTGGCGCATTTGTGCTATCTTAAATAAAGTTTGTGTAGGGGAAATAATAATTTATGTAGGGGTAATACGTGTAATAGTTTTATTCTTTTTCACATTGTAGTGACCTTTATTATTCCATTTGTTCTAGAATGTACTTTTCGACCAGTGTAAGATATAGTACAAAATTGTATAATAACGGAAAAATAAAATATTCTGCACTAAAAATTTGTCTCTTCTTAGGACTGAGTACCACTTGAAACAAAGAAATATTATTATAAACATTAAAGATTTTTAAGGAATTTAAAATAAAAAATAATCTATAATAATATAATAATCAACAAATAATAATAATCGTGCTGAATTTGATGTTGCTTTATAGTCTAGCGCAGTTCAATACCTCGTTATAGTCACACTCTTCCCAGTCCCAGCTATCATAAAGTAAGATTTCTGTTTCCCGACCCTGTATTAGAAACTCTATTGACGAACATTGTAATTGATTCTCTATCCATTTTTGGGAGCGTATCAGTTAATGAAACGACGTCATCATCGTTAGCTCGCTGACTTTGTTCAAGTAACCGCCATTTCCATTTTGTTGGCGTTTCTCCGTAGTTCGGGTTATTTTTGTGCAATCAAAATTCTTGTGAATATCACAATATGCTTCTTCGATATACGTAACTGACTCTTAGAATCAGTGTTAACTCCTTTTTTTGTCAGATTTGACCGATGATCATTTATTTAGACGTAGTGTTTATTGCAAGAACATGTACTTTTTATTATCGTTATTAAATTAGCTGGCTGGTACCAAAATCTCTCATCGTGAATTCCATGTAACCTTAATTTAATTTTTCGTAATCGAAAATAAAAATAATAATCTTTTGTATATAGGCTAGCTACTGTTATATCAAACTAAAATTTCATTCATATGAAATGTCAATATGACTTATATTTTGGAAATGAAATTACATTTGAGTGGAATTGTTGTTTTTTTTTGTATTACTAAAAAAGCTGTTCAGTTTCATCTGATATTTGGTGTTACTTGGATCGTCAATGGACTTGATAAAGTCAAAAGTTGGTCTGTTTTCTGGAAATAGGATCCCAATATTATTTGGTATCGTAGGTCGTACTCCGTTATTGATGTCTAATACTAGACTTCGCTCACCGAATGGTCGTTCACCTGTGAAAACCTCGTACATAACCATCCCAAACCTATAAATGTCTGCAACCCTAGTGTATGGCTTTCCATTTAGTACCTCCGCAAATTTCTCAATTAGATTTTTCTATAAGATACTGTATATTATATAAAAATGCACCAATCAGCAACAACTACGCATGTTAAAAAAATTTTTTCTTTTCCTTCGTTTCTTTTTTAGTCAACAGTGACACAAAACTATTTACATCAAAATTGGCGCCGGAAAAATTGAACCTTCGAAATCCTGGTGAAATTGGTAGAATAGAATAGGATATTTCTTATTTTTAACCCAGACACGGTTTAGTAGGTCAATTAATAACTCAGTTTCACATAAAAGGCTTTGATTATTATTTAAAATGGGAAATATTAATATTTTTCGCCATCCACTATTTTCGCCTAATGACCAAAAATCCGAATCCTCCGAAACTGCCGAAATTAAGCTCACGTGTCGAAATCTAAAATTTCCGAAATTAAACGACGACGGTAATGTTAAAGATCCGGAAACAGATATTGGAATTCGCCACATCATTATTTGATTTGCTTTTACAATTTTTCAAAATGGTCAATAAAACATATTGATTGAGGCTTATTATTAGATTTTATGGTTTAACAGCTTTCGGTAAACATTCTCGATAGACAGCGAATTATGTTGTATACACGTATTGATATAATACTTGCACAAGCAACAAAGATTTATTTCTTTTCTTAATCCATCATTTATTTGTCCATTTCTTTGATTTTTAGCTTCTATGTGAAAAAATTTTATGTAAGGGGGAAATAGTTTTACTCTTTCCACATTATTCAAGGTATGCTTGTAATTATACATGTATCTTGCATTTCAACTACGTAATTGAATTCGTAATCAATTTACTTACTGCCCTTTTGTTCATTATCCCATTATCTCATTTGCCGTGTTTTGTTCTAGAATGTCCTAAGATATAGTATAAGATCGTATAATAAAAAAATAATAAAAAAAATTTATTATAAACTTTAAATATTTTTTAAGGAATTTAAAATAAAAGAATAAAATAAAAAAATTAATGGATAATATACAATAATAATAATCGTGTTGAATTTGATATTGCTTTAATTCTATTATCTAGTGCAGCAAAATAATTGTTGACGAACTGATTCTCTATTTGCTATTACCATTTTTGGCGTTATTGACAAGTTCAGTTGAGAGCGTATCAGTTAATTAAACGACGTCGTTTTTTATTGGCGTACGTGCATGACAAGTACGTAACGAACTTTGATTGTCATCTTCGGCCGATGATAAATTATTTATTAGATTAAAATGAAATCTAGTAGGGTGTATAAATAATCAATAACAAAATTTAATACTACGTACGTATCGCTATTGCTATACTCCGAGTCCATACTTAACCTTTTCCAAAATTGTCACCAAAAAAAGACCCAAATTATTTAACTCTTTTTTATAATTATTATTCAAAAAAGGTCACCAGATCTGATTTCGTTTTAATCTGTCACAATTATTTATTTACTGTTTCTATTGTTCCAAAGTCTCCAATATCAACACTGAAGTGGAGTCCATGGCGAATGTCATGATGCACAATCGTGAATTCCATGTAACCTTTCCAATTTATTTTTTCATAATCGAAAGTATATATAACAATAACGATCTCTTGTACATGTACATATCGATGTTCGTTATATTGTGATGAGGTGCAAGACGTAATGCATTCATTGGTGAAAGTAATGGCGGTGAGATTGTTATATAAATATTACTACAATACTAACATCTTTTATATAATCAAAATATATATAAATAACAGTGCTGGCTTCCTAGCAAGATAATAACAATTAAAAAAAAAATAACAATGTGATGAATCTGCGAAAATCTAATAGGAGCACATCACGGGTTTTTAAAATTTTCAAAACTTATTTTCTCGATAATCAGTGATCAGATTTTTGTAATTTTGTTCTTATTAAATTCGCCTCAATAAGACGAACATTTAGGTAATAATTTATCGAATTATTGCGAATTTTAGTTTTTTTTTTAGTTAAAAATGTACAAGTTACAAAATTTTTAGAACACTAAATTATATTTGAACTTTCATTGACATGGAAGAGGACACACCAAGTACTGATATTTTAGGGCATAATGCTCTACTCAGAGGCACTTTCAAATAATTTATTATACAATTAAATATAATAAAAAAATTGGCCGCCATTACTTTCACCGGGGACTGTAGTGGTTGAGAAATCGATAATGGGGTTAATAATAAATATTTATATGATTGACGACAAAAAAAATGTTTATGTAAAGTTAATTGTTATTGTTTGTTTCGTTGAATGATGAATTTAACGTATCAATGAATAAGCCACGTTTTGATTGTAAAGTAAATTACTTTAATGCTGTGAGATTTCATATAAAGTAAAAAAAAAGAGAGAAGAGTTATTATATGTTAATAATTAACGAATAAAAAACTGAAAGTAAAACTTTTAAGTCTTCATCTTTGCAAATAGAATGAAAAATACTGTAATTGAAGACTCGATTGAAGCATTTGCTATTTCTTTAGAAAAAGCTATTACTATTAGGAGGTGCCATTTCACAAGCTGCAATATTATAATTTCTCTTATAATTAAATTGAAAATTCAACAACATAATTGCGCATAATTATATTTAAATGCATATTTTATTAATGATGTGATAAATTTTTATCTCCAGATATAAGATAAAACATGAACCAAATTTATTATCGTTACGATAATTGGCAAACACCGCTTAGCGTTGTCACGTTTACATATCGATATGTAAGATTTTAGATCATAATTTAATCATATCAGGAAAAACTCCTTAACTTTAAAACATTATACATGAAACTCTAGTTTTAATAAAGCACACCTTAATTCTGTAACTTAAAATTTATTCACAAATTATGTAATTGCAAATCACGTTTTTATATTTCCTAATTTTTTGGCAAAATTGAATAAAATAACAAAATGCATATGATAACTATAGAAACTCACAAAAACTAATATAATTATCAAATATGCGAACGTCAAATTAAAGTTAAAGTCTGAAACTTCCAATGCATATTTACAATAGGTTATAACGTTCTGAAGATACTTGTAGTACATATTTTATAAAATGTATAAATAAGAAGTAAATTCAAATTTAACACGTGAACATGATCAAAAGGGTCTATTCTATTATATTCACGGATTAAATTTTGAATTTACTTCTTAGCTTATACATTTTATAAAATTCAACGTTTGATAACTTTACGATACTCTTAACATTTACTTAAAATTTGGCAATAAGAAAAAAGAGTAGAGCATCGATATGTACGCTTTTATAATCTTTTTTCAACAACAACAATAACTTTATTATAAGAATAAGTTTTATTACAGTGATGTGTGTGTGCGTGAGCTATTAGAGAAAATTTTTCCAAAATTCACTATATCGAGTGTTTATTAATAGATTATTATATCGAAAGGATTTATTGCAGACTATTTTGAACGCCAAGTTCATTACATCGAGAGTTTAATTAGTCTTCAATGTACCGAGCGTTCACTAGAACAAGAATGGCTTGCAATAAAAATTCATATCGTTTACCTACGTATGTAACAATGTAAATGTATGATGAATCCAAATTTAGCGACATAAATAAGCTGAACAACACTATTGTTCAGCTCCATTTAGTATAGTTTATTCAATTATATTATTTTCATAACATAAAGCAATTTACTAATATAAGTGATAGATGAAATTTAAATTACATTCTCGAAAATTGTTGATATAATAATATAGTTATTAATTATTAAAGAAAATTTATGCTTGGAGCAGTTGAGCACGAACTGGTTAAAAACACATTTTTAATGAAATAACTCAGGAAACTTCTAAATGAAACAGAAAAATATTTTCGACAGATTCTTATATAAAAATCACAAAAATTTTTGCTTTTGGCGCTTGAACCCTAAACTTGTTAAAGAAATTATTCTAAGGCTTAATTCGACAAAATTTTGTCATCCTGTTTAACTTTCTTTTTTGACTTGATAATATTAATATGCAATAATTTTGTTGATACTTCATAGAAGATAAATTTAAGACAAATAAAAGCGTTAACCAGGATGCAACCAATGTATCATACCTGAGCTGTTCAAGGAGAGGATCCCAACATATTTAATGGCACTGGAAACTTGACTAATCATATTGATAATTTCCTCAATACGTAGTGATTTTCAAAATTTTTGTAACACTACTCACATTATCATAATTAAAGTCTGCACTATTTTTCGTGGGGAAAGCTTCACCTAAAAAGCTATTTGAGCAAACAAGCAGAAACATATGACTTTATCATAAAAAGTACAGTAAATAGGTTTTTCACCATGATATTTATAAAATTAAATTTCGAATAAATTCTTGTAAATAATTATATGTAAAACTATGTAAAATAAAGAAAATTTATAAGATCTAACAAGTGTAACTTCAAAGATTACCTCCTAATTTTCAAATAAAAGACAAAAATTCCGAGTTAAATACAGAAAGCACAAATAATAATTCTGAGGTGTCGAAGAGAAAAGAGAAAGTAAGGAAAGAAAATGTTGATAATTTGATGAGTCATAAGGCTCATAATAATGAAATTAACCAATGGTACGCATAGTCATTCTGTCAAAAACCCTAGGTAGTAACATGGATTCTATAAAGTAAATATCTGTTTTTTATCACTGGGCTTATATTATATATTGTAAGCTAACTTCATAGTATACATTCTAATTTATTTACAGCGTTTACTAAAAGTGTTGAGTGGAAGGATCTTTGGAAATACCAATAAATTTTCCGATTCTATCTCAAGATTATATTTAGTTAAGGATGTTAAAGTCCGGTCCAGTAGTGGAGTCCTATTAAAAACTAGATACGACTGAGCCTGGAGTCGCCTGTTTTAATATATTATTCGATAGACAATAATAAAAATATCTTTGTAAATTGTTTCTTGGTACATAAAATATGTTTACCATATCACTATTAGTGATCAGTCAACTACATGTATCGGTATGTACTATTTAATTTTCGACTCACATGACTATTAGGACTGTGTCTTTCGGTCCCTCCAAATTTGAAGTGGAACCTGAAGCAGTTAAACTCAGACAAGCTTTTTAGCATCATTGTTGTTAAACACAGTAAACTTGATAAACCAACCGGAGTAGTCCATTCATCTGAACCGGTCGGTTTATTGATTACAGCATAATCAAATAAATTATATGCACGTGTGTATGTTGGTTTCAATCATGACACAACATGGAAAAATATCAATGACAGTTATCATACTGGAATGTACGTAAACAAGACTTAAATAACATCTTTTTCACAAGCAAATGAACTGCTCTTCGTCAGCTAAATACGTAAGCAGTCAGTCTTTTACACAGCATATTCCGGTCTGTAAACGCCGTTGTCTATTACATGTAATTGTCCAATACTTGTCATCGTACGAGAGTAAACATACATTCCACCCAGACGCCCATAGATTCAATTATTGTAGTCCATAATAAGCTGTAATTTTCTCTACAGAAAGTTTCACAAGTTCGAAAAGTCAAATTGTGAGAATATAAAATTTCCAGCTTGTCCAAGTTATTTTCAGATAATTGCAAATTCCGATAAGTTGCAATTATTACGTCCCAAATATGTCGTCTTTGTTCATCCTTTTGTTACTTCTGCATTTGCAAATTCGTGTCTTTTTTTCGTATGATTCGCCAGTTGTTGACAGTCTCGTCTACGTCAAGTACCACCCGCGTTTTAGTCCTGACATCGTATCGCCTCCCAAGGGTCTCAACAACTTTAGTAAAACATCGCCAATCGGTAATGTAACTCTCCCATTCGGCTTCAAGTATACCAAATATGATAATTTCACGACCAATCGTCCCTGGTTATCTGGTACTTCTGGGTTGCAAATATTGCGCACAAACGTTAGCTTTTCAAACCAAATGAAGCCACCTCCACCAGTCATTGACTTGTCAAACATCGATAATAAGAAGCTAAGGAATGTCATCATCGTCGGCTTGAGAGAAGGAAGGCACATTGAAAATGTGACGAATGACTAGCATATTAGGATTGAAAAATGTGCGGCTACATGCGCAAAAAAACTATCGGGGTGTCAAGGAGGCTGTGAATCCGCCAAATCTTCGTTCACCCTCGAGACTTGTCGAAAAAAATGCTTAGATCAGGTAAACGAACTATATAAAAGCTATATATAACGAAAATCGAACTGATACTTGTTTTTTATTCAGATTGTTGATCAATATTTCAATCCGCTTTCCCCCACTGGCTTCCTCTCAAATTTGATGGCCCAAAGCCAACAAATATCTCTCCCACCGAGCTAATTCAACAGCATGCCGACAATC